TTTGAATCAGATAGCAAAATGTCACCCATGTAATGGTAAGTTATAGATTTAGGAAATTGTTTAGGAAATTACTTCCAATGGCTGACTTACGAAGTATTGGCACAGGGTGGGGCTACTGAGCATTCCCTGTGGGAGGACGTTCTACTGAGATTCAGGAAGTACTCATCTAGCATCTGTTACTCCTATTTGTACAGCCTTAATTCATCTTTGTAAAAAGTCACTAAAGGGTTCTCTCTGGACCTGTTTAATCTTGGCATATGAGTCAATTCATTTTCCTATTCTTGAATCCTGTCCCAAGCATTTAACGCTGCTTTGTGGCATGGGGACAAGATTTGTTCATCATAAAGATCTTGAACCTGTGGGTCAACATAAGTGCCCTTGCCAAGAATTTGATCTTGGGAAGTCTCAAGTCCTTTTGCTTTTCCCTCTTGTTCTAAAATTTTTACCTCTTCTCACAAATAACATTTTCACAGTAATTGTGGCCCATCATCCAGGACTGCTGAAACTAATTGACACCAGTCATATAGGGTATCCTTAATGCTAGAAACCCATGACTTTACCATCTCCCTAACAAATGCTGAATGCAAGCTGTAAGTTGCTATTGCTTCTTTAATTTCTTTCAGATCATTCATTTCTATAGGTAACCAACTAACTTCTTTGGATCCTTTTGGGCATTTAGAACTTGATGCTTTTTCAGAGTAGATTACAGGGTAGGAAGCTAAAATCCTGGTAAGTCATCTCTGACAGGTACTGGCGATGTTAAATTCTGTCCTTGTACCTTCTTTCCCTGCTCATAAGCTCCAATAATTTCTTCAATCATTTCTAATCTTTTTACTACTGTCTTTTGGTTTGTATATATTTCTAGTGATTTCACTGAGGCACCTATCTTCTGGTACTCCTTCTTCACATGTGATTCCAAGGTCTCAAGTTTTTCCTTTAAAGATAACATCTTATCTGTGAACAATATTTGGATAGTGTGCAGATTGCCTTCCTGAAAAGATACTCTATCTGCTAACCTATCATAATTTTTTTTCTTTTTGGTTTTTCAAGACAGGGTTTCTCTGTGGCTTTACCTATCATAATTTTTAACAGATTTTTATTGTCAGAGTGAATTCTTTCTGATACCCTTTGACATGGATTGAATTTTGCTTGCCAAATTAATGTTATCTTTTTCATTAGTATTAAATTTTTCAGGTAACTTTGACTTTCGATGGCATTAATCCTGTCAGCTAGCTGTTCATTATTAGTCCATAAAGACTGCATTATTTATAAAAGTGCCTCATTCTTGGCTCTGCTGTCAAACCATTTTCTTAAGGATATAACATGAAGAAAGAAACTGAGTCCCAATATCCAATAAATAGATGTATCACAATAACCATATAAGCCTTGCAGAATACAATCCATAGTATCAGCAAAATGATTATTAAAATTTTGCATGGAAATATTGTCTGCAATTATATAACTTTCAAGTTTATTGATTTATTTATTAATCAAATAGTTACCTTTGTTATGAGATTTGGTAAATTGTTTTAGGTGTAATAATCTTTATTGTCCAGCAGGTGTTGTGGTTGCAGCCACATGGCAAAGAGTCATGCCTGGTGGTGGCAGGGCAGTCCTACACTGCTTTGGTTTTTCATCTTGAGGCCTGGTTAAATACCAACAAATATGCTTTGCTTGACAAATTAAAATTGATTAAATGAATTCCATACAAGGAGCAAGGAGCCTAGAACTCACCAGAAGGGAACACAAACTGCAAGTTGCACAAGTTGCTGCATGGCAGGGAATGTGGCAGTAGGGAGGGAAAAAAAATGTGCGCCAGCCTGGGAAATTTCCAAGTCACCGTGCTTAGCCCCACTGTTGTGGGCTTTTAGTAGATGAAAGCAAGACAGGTGGGTAGGAATAGAAGACCTTCTGGGCCATGGACCATTTGGGCCTTTTAGACTGGTCCACCTGGTAGGGGTGGAGTATGGATCCATGTGGGGCACCAGATGAAGGTGGACACTAAAAGAAATCCCAAACTAGCTCAGAATTGAGTACAATAAAGGGTTATTTATTTAGGGGTAGAAGCACAGATCACAGTCCTCTGCTCGAATGGGAAACAGCAACCAAATCCTGGAGCCGGGAGAGAGAGGGAGTGTGTGCTTTACATTGGCATTTATATTATAAGAGGCCATACCCAAATAGGCTGGTAACTTAGATGCTACTGACTGAAGGAGTTTCTACACATTAACTATCCCTAATCCCAGTTCTTGGGAATCCAACGCCCTCATTTGCCCTCCATGGGCACAGTAGGCACACTTATGGTATACACACATAAATGCAGGCAAAACAACACTCATATACATAAATTAAAACATGTCTTTAAAATAAACAAATATTAAATTTATAAAGTACTTGTAGAATATGGTTTGAACTTGGTATATAAATCTGTTTTAAAATGGAATCAAATACAGTTTTTGTTGTTTTGTTTTTGAGACAGAAATTGAGGTAGACAAGCTCACCTCAGACTTACTATGTAGCTAAGGATCAGGCCACATTTGGTTTCTGTTTTCAGAGAATTCAGTTTCTTATGATCATAACTATACATAACAAATAGAACATTTGGATGAGTAATGGATTGCCACCTGCTTTGAATACTTTTAACTTACATTTATTTATCTATCATTTATAGTATATTATATTTACTATGTTATATGTATATCCTTGGGTGGGCATTTGTGCACCAGAATCCAGGTGTAGATATGGACTACAAGTTGCCAGACCCTGCTCTTTCCTTGTACCACGTGAGTCACAGGAATAGGCAGCAGTGACCATAACCTGCTGAGCTGTCTTGCTGGCTCTCTTTTGAGCATTTTGATCACTTTTAACTTTATACCATTAAATGAATGGTTAAATTATTTCACATATAAATGCTTGTATAAAACGATTACCACATAAATATATCAGCAAGCCACAAATTACCACTTATCCTCACAGATATATAAACTCTCATCACAGAGACGGTACTGAGAAATTATTTGATGATGTCATTTGTAGAATGTCAACAAGAGGTTTTATGAAATCTCTGAAAATCTCAACATTATAAAATCATTAACTTTTTCCATCCCTGTATAAATCTAACATATGTTCACTGTATAAAGGTTTGAAACAAAGAATAGTATTTAAAAGAATGATTACTCTCAGTCCTACTTTTACTGTAAAGGTTATGTTGTTTTTCTTTGTGTGTCTGTGAGTTAATGCCTTGGTGTGTGCAGATGCTGGCAGAGGCCAGATGAGGGCATCAGGTCTCCTGGAGATGCAGGTAGGTGTGAGCCCACATGGCAGCTTACAACCTTCTATAAATCCAGTGCCAAGGAGCTGAATCCCTCTTCTCACTGCACCACCAGGCACACAATCCACATACATACAGAGATGGAAGCAGAACACTCGTTCACCACCAGGCACACATGAACAGTCCACATACATACATAGATGGAAGCAGAACACTCGTCCACTTCATATAAAACAAGTCTTTAAAATAAGCAGTGTGGTGCTGGCACACACTAACAAGTGAGAGTCCTAGGGACTCCAGCACCTGCTCAGATTACCTGCAGGCTTCCTGTGCTCCCTGCTCGTGCTAGGCACGCTATGTGTGTAGTTTAGTCTTTACTGTAGCTCTAGGATACTAGAGGAAGGAAAAGGGTTTGTTTGCTCTTTCTTGACTTCAAAATAAATTTCAAACTAGGATTGGTGGAGGACACCTCTAATTCTAGAACTCAGAAGCCTGGTAAGAAGGAGGATTGAGACTTTGAGGCCAATATGGGCTATGTAGCTAGAGAGGGTCTCAAAAAGATTATTGTCCCCCTGCTGAAAAAAGCTACAGAAAAAAACAGAAATGAAACATTTAATGGTATGTCTTGTGCCTTCCATACAAGTTCACCACTACCTACAGCTTGCTGTCTGCTCTCTGGCTCTTCCATTTACCTGCCTGCATGTGCCCCTTAAAGTATTTAAAATAAGATGTTCACGTCATGACACATCTCTCTACAATGCCTATAGGTGCCTTGTCTCTTAAAACTATCCTTTTTAAAATGATAGAAAAGGATCAAAGTTGAGATTTTTTTTAAAGATAGCCCTGTCTTTCAGGACTCTGTGTATTGGTTTATTCAGGATTATTTGGAACAGGTCTCTAATCAGAAGTTTTACATGCTGGTCCCATTATGGAGGAATCAAGTTTTAGACTGTTGATTGAGGGGAGCCTGGTCTCTCCACTATAAAGATATCCCATGGCTGTAAACAGAGTTGAAAACTCTCTCCGAGTATTGTGTCAGAAAAAAGATTCAGATCTAAGCGATTCCTGAATCCAGTGAACACAACACCACCGTTTCACTGACTAAAAACCATTAAAGTCGTGGGGTTATGGCTGAGAACCACCACACCCAGATTCCACTTTTTAAGAAATTTCTTTGGGGGAGGGGCTGGGTAGGGAGCCACAGCTGGCAAGTACATGCCAGAGGACAACTTTTGTGAATTGGTTTTCCTTCCACTGTGGGATCCTGCATTGAACTTAGCTTCTTCACAGTAGAAAGAATGAGAGGAAGAAAAGGCACTAACTGCTGAGTGGATTTTGGTATGAGCATTTGTTTGCACTCAAATGCCAGTGCACAATTTAGCCTGCTCAACAGTACTCTCAATGCATGAACACAGGAGAAGCGGCCCCACAATCCTGAGCCAGTGTAGGGTGCGCCCGCTAGTCAAGGAGAGCCCTATATAAGCTGCCCTGGAACACAATACAATTGGTTTTCTTGTTTCAAGGGTGACCCGTGTCTCTGTCTGTGTGTATGTGTCTGTGTGTGCATGCGCATCTGTGCGTGTTTCAATCTCCAGCCCCTTGCCTAACTCGTGAACCATCCCATTGTAGACAGGCAGAACTGTACAATGGGGCTAAGTATATGGAAACACAGGCACCCCAGAAAGCAAGAGTGTATTAGAACCCTCAAACTCCGAACTCAGTCATCACGTGAATTAGAATCTGGTGTGCAACAGCTAGGAGCTTTTATTGTTCATTATCTCACATGACAGGGTTCACCGACTCCTGAAGAGTGGAGGGGACCTGTTTGCTGCAGGGGAACATAGGACTCAGTCCCACTTCCTAAGCAAAAGGGAGGGGATGCTTTAATTGAATTGCAGGAACACCCGCTAACCTCCAGAACACACTTATGAAGGACTGTCCTGTCTTCTGGAAGCCCATGCTCATGTAAAGGGCCTGAGCACCTTTCGGCAAGATGCTGGTCTCAAGGACGACATCACTGTAGCCCTGGTCCCATGCAAAATGGAGGATAGTTCTGATCAGAGCTTTTGCTATCCCCTGTCCTCGATGTTGTGAGGACACAGACAGGTGAAAGAGCTCCAGCTGCTTCCTCCCTAATGGGGGATCCTTGACTGGTAGACCACCCACGATGCCCACCACCTCTCCCCCAGACTCAGCCACCCAGAAACAGGAGCCACGTGCATTCATGTAGGACTTGGTGATGTCAGCCATGTCTGTGTGCAAACACTTGGCCACATACTTCTTCCACGGCTGTCTTGCAAGAAGCTTCATGAGAAGGAGCACAAAGAAGATGCTCATAGCAGCTAGCAGCCAGGAGTCAGACACCAGGACCATGGCAAGTGGCACCCCAAGTAAGAGAAGGAGGGTTCGGGGCAGGGTCAGCATGTGGCGGAAGGTGGCAGGGATTTGCTCTTCCATTCCTCTTATGAACAAATCCAAGACACTTTTCTGGTCGCTGTCCTGGTACTGGCGGATGTGATAAGGAGCCATGGGAGATTTCTGGGTCTCAAATCTCGGCATCCAGGAGAGACAGGTATACCTGCCTGGCACTTTGCCTGAGGCCTGAAAAGGAGAGAAACCATGGAAGTCCCCTGACCTTCTGCCTCCCAGCTTCTCAGGACCCATTTAGCCTCTCTTCAAGGGTGTATCTGTCTGCTGTCACCAGACAGGAAGCAGACACAAACACTGGGAGAATGTCTGTCCAGCAACACCTGACTCCATCATTCTCACCCTACTAGAAGCCTTCTGCAGCTCTGGGTACATAAACAAGCCCAGTGCTGCAGATGGACCCCATGCACCCATTAGGTCACTGTCTGCGGGCTGTGCATTACATGCATTCTGTATTTCCAGATGTTTTCCTGCAGATCTCCTTCCCAAGGATTGTAAAACTTTAGATTACAGAGCTGGCAGAAATAAACAAACAAAACCACCCTTTGCTGCAAACCCTTATCCTTGAGCCCTCAGGCAGTTCTAGGACTTCAGTCCCATGCTGAGACCCTCTCCACAGACCTGCCAATCTTACCTGCTGCTGCACAACCAAAAGTGTCTGGAAGGGCATCAGCCTCTGGTCGCATGCAGTACAGGTAGCCTGGGTCTGCCTAACAACTGGTGAGCAGACCTGAGTTGGCACCTCACTGGTTGGTTACTTGGTATTTGTTAATCATAAAGCCCAGGATCACAGAGCTGGAAAGTGACATCCGGGAGGCCACCCCCATTCACCCTGTGACTTGGGTTAATAATTTGTAGATCACAGTGGAATGTGGATGTTCAACAGTTTTCACCCCCATGGAAGGCCTATCACCTGCACTGTTCCCTCAGGACTGCAGCCATCTCTGCCCTCTTTCAAGGCCAGCCTGGTCCTAACATAACTGCTCAGAGCAGCCTGATGTTGGGACACACACACACTGGGCTCCCATGTCCTGCCACAGCAACAGGTCCTATAGCTAAACTTTTCCTTGTCCATGCTGTGCCTGGTCCTGTAAAATAAACCCTAGGGGACCACACTGTCCTTCTGCCCCTGCTCCTCACCACCAGCCTCAGGCAGTGCTAGTATCCTTTTTCAGCCCCAGCTATGGTGCCATCCAGATGGCGGGCACTAGACAGGGCACAGCTGCCTGAGTTCAGGACCTGCTCAGAGCTTGAACATCATGCTTCCTACATTGGTTAGCCGAGGTGTTTCTTCCCTACAACAAGTGAGAGCGATATCTGTCTCTACATGTAGCGAGCTGCGTGGTGTCACACCTGATGGAGATGTATAATCAACTCCTGAGATGGCTAAAGCCTGACCTATGCTATGATCACACAATGATTATCAGCTTCCTGCATATGCGTGAACCTATGGGCAATGCCCACCTGGCAATCCGGGATTGGCAGCCCATGCCTACTTAAGGGCTGGGAGAGAGGGAGAGAGAGAGAAAGAGAAGGAGAAGAAGATAGATTGCTGTGAATAAAGTCCTGAAAACTGCTGCAAGAAGAGCTCCGGGTGTTGCGTTTTTCCTTGCTAGTCGGAGGTGGACGTGACATCTACAGAGTGTCCCTGTGGAAGGTATTCTCTGTCTCTGTCTCCAACCCTGAACTGAAGGCCAGTGGGAGCTATACTGGCCCCATTTCCCCCAGAACCACTGTAGCCAGAGAAGCAGGCTCTGAGCAAGGTGGAGCGAAGGCTATGGCAGGATCTTACTTTGAGAAATTTTTCATGCCAGCAAAGAATCAGACACTCTCAGAACTGTGACAAGGTCCAGGGGAGAAGATGCTGGGATGTCAGCACAGTGAGGCTTCTCAGAAGGATGCCAGAGCAGAACCAACACCTCAGAAAAGGTTCATCTCCTGAGCAGGGAGGGGAGAGGAGCAGGGAAGCTCCTGAGTCTGCCCTTGGGAAGAGAGCCCTTAAAGGCACATGTGTCTAACACCAGCAGGGACCTGGCTATACAGGACCCAGAACACAGTCAAGTAATGCAGATATCCCATTCCAGATGCACATGAGGCCATGAGGATGCATTTTAGCTGGGAAAACATGGGTCCTAGGTGTGCAGGTGGCATGCTGCAGAAGCCCTGGGCCAAAAAGATGTCTTAAAACTTCATCAGTCTGGGCTCCCAAGAGGAACCCAGTCCAATAGCTGAGAGTTAGGCACATTGAGAAAGAAGTACTTTGTTCCCTAATTGCTTAAAGGTCTTGTTTGTCCAAGAGACTGTGGACCTAGTTGGGTTATTGTTTGCAAGGGAGCCTCGTTCAGTATAGACTGAGGAGACACCAGCACTGTGTGAGGAAGATTCGTGTGCCCTGTCCATTGGGACACAGGCCAGACAGGGACATCTGCACTACTTGAGAACATTCAGTGCAGAAATGACCAGGGTCAGCACCAGTCAGCTAGGGATAAGCAGGGCAGCTTCACAGCCTGCAGCAGAGCATCTGGGCTCATGCTTGGCTCTGGGTATGACTCAGCAGAAAACCCTGGCTTCCCTCCCTAGAAGAGAGCTGTGTTGCTGACAGCAATGGAAAGAGCAAGGACAGGTTACATCATCTGAGCACAGAACACAGGAAACACAGCTTAACCGTGGAGTTTTGCTTTATTTAGCAAAACAGAGAGGATTTATTAAGCAAAAAGAAAAGTTCTTGGTTACTGAAAGGGGATCCAAAAGTGTTC